GGTAATTGTGTTATTGTTCAAGTTGGAGAGTGGCGCTCACGGAAACAGCCGAATGTTGCCGAAGCGGAGTCGGCGGGCAGGTTCATGTGGAGCGTCTGCCCCCCCTTCCCCCACCTCACTCCGGGGTTTGGGGGGAGGTGGGGGGAGGAGAGTGGAACGTCAGCCAATGACCGGGCCGCTCTGGCGCGACGGTTGGCGGCGGGTGACGTCGCTGCCAGGTGCGCCCGTGCTCAACGGCCGTCGGCGGCTGACGTAATCGGCATGTGTGCTCGAGCTTAACGACTGAACACCTGAGGCGATGGGGGAAGGAATGATTGTTCCAGTTCTACAGGTTGAAGAATGGAGGACTTGGATATTGTATCTGACCTTGCTCCTCTTCAAAGAGATGTAACGTCTATATCATGTCCTGAAACTTCCACTCTCCACCCCCCCGTTCCCATCCACAGCAGACAGCAATGTGCATCTTCAAGGGGCACCACAATAACTTGCTGAGAAACCCATTGATAGCTGAGTCCCAAAACCCATAACCTCTACCACCTAGATGGACAGGGGCAACATATGTAAAAGCAAAATACTGATTACTGGAAACCTGAAACAAACAGAAAGAAATTAAGCAGGTCTGGCAGCATGTGTGGAGAGAGAAACTGAGATAATGTTTCAAGTCCAGTATGACTTCTTCAGAACTTAGCAAGTTCTGCATTAAATGCATAGGAGCGACTACCACCAGCTCAAAGTTCCTCTCCAAGTCACACACCATTCTGACTGGAAATTTTATTGGTGCCATTCACTATTGCTGGATCAGAATCCTGGAACTTCCATTTTAACAGCATGGCAAGTGTACCTGCAACATTTAGTTCAAGGTGGGAACTCACTACCACCTTCTCAAGGACAATAAGGGACGGTGAATCAAATTCTGGTTTTACCAATGCCACTTTCATGCCATGAAACAATTTTTAGAAAGGGCTTAAAAAGGCTTATCTTCCCCTTGAAACCCTCTGTTACCCTCAGGCTTCAAGTTACGTTTCTGTGGGAAAACTGCGCAAAGAAACTACGGTTTCTGCTATAAAAAACTTACCCTACCTCATCTTGCATGTGAAAAAATAGTTTGTGGGCTTCATCCCAAATTTTGCCCACGATGTCACAATTTTATGTTATCAACAGATATGGAGCAATCAGAGATAGCACCCAATGATTTACAGCGATTGATAAACTGTGTGGGCAGAGAAGAGTTGAACCTGTAGTCATAAAACTGTAAAGTGGATATATATCTGCTGAAAAAGCTAGGGATGGGATTGAAAGAAATGTTAATTTAATAGATTTGTCTCTAAAGTATGCCAAACAAATACACAACAATTTACAAAATTAATAGGTTTGAAAACAGAAAGTGCTGAATCCACTCAGCAGATCCGGAAGTATCTGAGGACAGAAAGAAATAGCTAATATTTTAGGGTTTTCCATCAAAGGGAATACAAATGTTGAATTACTGTTAAACATGTCAGAAGGGATAATGATTAAACTTTGTAATTCTCTAATTAGACCACACCTTGCATCCTGTATGTAATCTGGCCACTTAAAAATAAAGAAAAATCAGAAGTACAGGGGAATAAAAATGAACAGAAGTATCATGTCTGTCAGATTGGAAAATAATTTATGATTCCATTTGAAAGCAAGTAAAGGAGGCACTCATTGCAAGCCATCACCACACAGAGTTAATGTTGTTATGCAGCATTTTTGAGACATCGCCTTGCCTTATTAATACTCTATAAATAAATAACAGAGAAACAGTAATTATTAAGAACTTGCATCTCACTGGAGAGGCTTTAGGCCAGTCCATATCCGCTGGTCATATTTTAAAGCTATGACAAATTCCAATGCAACATCTGATATAATCTTCAGCATTCTAAAAGAATAATGTTTTAAATCAAACAACCCTCAACAGGGACAAAAAAAAGGCCAAGATAACTAACTTTGCCTAATAAATTCCCAAAAACCAAATGTCGATTCCTGTTACTATACCACATATAATGCAGTCCCAAAACATTTTAATTGTGAAAGTACAAATTAGATTCATTAGTAGTTACAAGTTGCAGAAATTTAAATTTTACAGATTTTACATTGAAGGAATTTGTTGTATTGTTTTCCTTATCAACTTTTACTTCAGATTGTAACCATGTGCTCATTTTATGTCCTGGGTGTGGCTCTCATGTTAACTATTTTTGCACAGAAGTCACTGTAAAAGATGATGGAAAGAGGAAAGTGCAAGGAATAACAACATTGACATATGGCCTGCTGTGTTCATCCAGCTCTACACCTTGTTATCTCAGATTCTCCAGCATCTGCAGTTCCTACTATCTCTTGACATATTCCATTTGTTTTTGCCCAAATCCATTTTAGCTTTTGCAGGTGTTTTAGTTATAAACATTTAGCTCATATTACGACAAACCAAGAAATTTATTATTTATTTTGAAACAGCAATTTACTGTTCTTTGTTGTGTGACCCATTTTTCTAAGCACAACTTGTCTTCTATTAAAATGCAGGAAATGCATAAAATCTACTGATAAGATTTTTTTTTTGTTTAGATTTTAAGTGTATTTGTAGCATTTTCTGTTCTCTGTCTATTTGCATTTTTGTCAGCACCCATAAATGAGGGAAATATTTAATTATAATTATGATCAGAAGCAACAGTAATTTGAATAATAGCTTTCAAAGATCTTGGACAATCTTCTTTTTGCAAATTACTCAACTGATTTAGACTCTTAAAAGTAACCTACAATGCTCAGAAAATTACTTGAATATTTGAAAATTATACAATTAAAAGAAAATAATCAAACATTTTAATTCTAAACCAAAAACAGGAAATATTGGAAACACAAACAAGACACCTGTGAAGAGAAAGGCTGGGCATTGGATTAGTTTTGGCTATCTGTCATAATGAGCTGAATAGACACTTTCACTAAAACAGCTACCTACTATGTTGCCTGCAAACGCTGGTAATCCTGCTGACTTTCTAGCCATTTGCATATCTAAATAGACCATGCATCATATTTACAACACACAAATAAACCATTTGGTTCAGCTTGTCCATACCAGATTTTACACTCCGCACAAACTACCTCCACCCTTCTTCATCAAGTCCCATACTCTTCTATAACCTTTTCTCTCATGTGCTTAACTTGATTCTCCGTAAATGTTCCACAGTACAGAATTGCAAATTTTACATCCTTGTTCACAAAAGTGTGTAAGGATAAGATAGCAACTATGGATCATTCAGGTTAAGGTTGTTGGTGGGAAAATATTTGAGAATCAATAATTCAAGACCCAATTAACAGTCTCTTGGAGAAATGCAAGTTGATTAAGGAAAACCAACATAGAATTATGAAGGGGAAATTAAGGCAATTAACCAGATTAAGTTTTTGATGAACCAACAGAGAGAGTTGTTGAAGGTACAAGTTATGGTGAAGTTCTAAAATACACTAGTTCAGCCTCAACTGAAGAATTTTATCCATGTCTGGATAGCACATTCTAGGAAGACATGAAAGCATTTGAAAGAGTGCAAAAAGTATTTACAAAATTTATTTCAAGTTTGCACAATTTTAGCTACCATAGAAATTTGAGAGGAGTTTTGATAGACATGTTCAAAATCATTAAGTTTCTGCACAAAATGTAAAGTCCCTATAGTTGGAACAGTTAAAACCCAGAAAACATTAAATTAAGATGACTTGAAAAAGAACCAAAGGCAACATGAGAAAAATATTTTTTATGTATTTATTGGTTATGATCTGGAACCTGTTCTGTCTCTGATAGAGGCACATTCAGCCATGGTTTTCCAAAGTGAGTTGAATCATTAATTATGTAAGGAAAAAAATTTTTCATGGAGGTGGGAGAAAGCAAATGCTGATGAAATGTTCTAGCTGAGCTAGCATAGACACAACAGACTAAATGGCTTCATTCAATAACCATGTTATGCTTCTAAATGGCTCACCTCTCATGTTGGTGAGTTTCACAATCTGCCTTTGCAAAACAAAGTTTCTCTTGAATTGAAAAAGATTTTTAGATTAGTTATCTTATACATTTGGTCTTAAAGTATTGGTCTCCCAACAACAATAAATAGTCTTACTACATCTACCCCAGGGCTTCCAAACCTTTTCCTACTGTGACGCCATTGCAAGGCTTGAAAATTGTCGTTAACAAAAACGGAAGGTGCTGAAAAAGTTCAGCAGGTTTGGCAGCACCTGTGATGAAAAAAAATCAGAGTTAACGTTTTGGGTCATTGACCCTCCCTCAGAAGTATTGAAAATTGTCATGACTCCTCAAAGAAAACTGAGAAGTTGGGGTTGGTGGTGGTGGGAAAGACCTATGAGAACAGGAGGCAAGAGCTAAGACCTATGAAAACGAGAGGAAAGGAGCAGTGCTTTGTGGTAACCATTGCTGCCTCAAAGCTTGCAACCCCAAAATTTCAGCATGCAACTCTGCTAGAGTCACGAACCCCCACTTTGAGAAGCCCTGATCTACTCTAGTGAAGCAAGTCATAGCATCAAATACCTCTATTCAGTCTTCTACTTTTTCAGAACAAAACGTTCAATTTTTTTCTGATAGTCATGAACTCCGAATTCAGGTTTAACTCTAGTAAAGAGATAGTAGGAACTGCCGATGCTGGAGAATCTGAGACAACAAGGTGTAGAGCTGGATGAACACAGCAGGCCAACCAGCATCAGAGGAGCAAAAGGGTCCAGACTCGAAACGTCAGCTTTCCTGCTCCTCTGATGCTGCTTGGCTTGCTGTGTTCATCCAGCTCTACACCTTGTTATCCCTCAACTCGAGTAAATCTTTCCTTGCATCTATAGTATTCTTGTACCTCTATACAATTTTATAACACGGTGACCAGGACTGTAAATTGTACTCCAAAATGTGATCCCTGCTGGACCTGCCTGTCTATCGTTTCTTTTTAAATCGCTATATAAGGATAAATTGACAAACAAAGATCTGGATATGAGTATCAACCGTGGATCCAATTGGGTAACTGGTGTGCCAATCACAAAATGATGCCGGAAACGTAGCTCCAACAAACGGATCGCGTAGTCGTTAAGCGGATTGGCAGAAAGGTTTGAGAGTCAGCAAATTGGAAGATTAGTGGGAGAGCTGCAATAAACGGAACGCGTTGGGAGTCAGTAGTGTCTGCTGTTACTTTTAGTTGTATTTATTGCAAAATGCCGTCCTTGCGAGAGCGCTTTGAGAATTTCCTGAACGAAAAGAACTTCATCACCAACATATTGGGGAAGATTGAAGAGAAGACTGGGGTGCGTAAATACAATCTAGCCACAGGTAGGTCACAGAGGCTTGTTAGCAACCATTGCAATATGTTGTTGAATGTCAACGTGCGCTGGTTTCCACTGCGATTTGGTTTGGCTTGTAAAAAGAAAGAACTGAGGATGCTGGAAATCAGAAATTGGTGGGAAAACTCAGTAGTGGAGAGAAATCAGACTTAACGTTTCGGGTTCAGCGACCCTTCAGAATGCGTGTCACCCGTCTGCTACATGTTGCTAAAAGTTGTGGTTACGTTTTGGGAAAGTCAGAAGACCCTTCAAGACACAAATCGGTGAACTGACAGTGGAAATTGTAAGGGTCACTTAAATACTTATTTTCCCCTATAGGTGTTTGCCAGGCAATTTTGTTTGCAAACATGAGCTGTAACGATTTAAATTGCATTGTTAGCGCGTGGTCTTGGAGCTGAGAGGCATGTGGTTTGTGTCAAAGGACAACTTTTAAAATTCAAAGGCTTATAGGATATTCTATGCATATGCTAACTGAATTGGTATTTTTTTTAAAAAACTATTAACAAGTTGGTTAGAAACTTGGTCTATTTTAGTGAGAAGGGGGAACCACAATTGAAACAGTGTTCACTTAATTGTGGTAGATACAGGAAATCTGTGAACTTGGTTAAGCTGTTATTTTGAAGGAGTAGCATTGCATGTATCGTGCAGACTAGAATGCTGGGAGGATGTGTTGTGGGAATGTCACTGGACTATTAATCCAGATCCAAGCTAATCCTCTGGCGACATAGGTTCAAATCAAATTCAATTAGTAAAAGCTGGAATTGAAAACTGGCCTCAATAATGTTGACCGCAGAACTGTCATCGATAGTTGTAAAAAAAATTCGTGTAGTTCACTGACTATGCTTGTGCATGTGACTCGTGACCGGAAAGTGGTTGATTGTGAAATACTGTAACCCAAAAAGCCATTCAATTCAAAGGCATTTGGGATGTGCAACAGACTTTAACTTTTTTGCCAGTGAACCACACGTGAAAGAATAAATTAAAATTAATTATATTATTTCTTTTGAAGAGGTATAGCAGCAGTGCCAAAAAAACTCCAGTACCAGAACTCATAAATTCAATGTATTGGGGGAAAGTTCAGCAAGAGGGATTTCCTTTTTCCTCTAGAAAAGAGAAAATGGAGGGGTGACCTGGTTAAACCTGTGGTGTAAGACATCAATAAATTTTGTTTGGTATTCCTTATAGAGAGTGTTCAGAAATTGAAATCCAATAGTGCAAGTAATCGGGTGAATAGCATAGACGCAGTCTAAGAAGAAACTGGATGGACGTGCATGCAAAAAAAGTTTTATGCTATTAGAACTAAATTTAATAGAAACTGAAGGAGGTTGGTGTGATGCACAAGCACTGTGAGCCAGTTGGGTCAATGACCTGTTCTCTTCTGTACCACACTATTGTGCATACTATTTTGGGGCCAAATTCAGTTCTGATCCAACACTCAGCAAGTACCCCAGCTATATGCAAAAGATTTTAAAGACAGGATGTTTCCAAAATATGCCGCTTCTTGCAATCTTCTGTTCAAATCCAATGCTATTCCAGGTCTATATGTACCTTCAAGAAGCTCCTTTTTTAAAACTTATTTCCTTGCTTACATATTTTACTTGTCAATCTGAAAAGTTTTCAATTCAAGTTCTGAAGTATGGGCTTCTTAACACCAATACCAAAAGGTACATGTTGAAAGTAACAATCTTTTTTTTATATTTCAATACACAAAATGTATTCACATATTTTAGACTTCCACAAATGTGCCAGCTTTTTTGATCACTAACTGTAAGTGTGTCTACAGAAATTTATTAGTTTGCTCATTTGTGCAATTGTTTATTTGCACATGGTGGAAATATCTTTGCGTTTTCAAATATCTTTGGACTTGGGCAGGACAAACGAGGCAAAGGAATACATGAAGAGTAGAACAACTCTCGAGGAATTGCTGAGGATCAGAGGATCTTGGTGTGCATGTCCACCAATCTGAATAAATTCCATCTCCAGCCCTAGAACACATCTGTAGATGTGGAAACCTGTGTATTACTTAAATATTGCAATAAAATGCAAGAAATTGCTGGCACCAAAACTGTCATAGGAAGAATTGCTTTAATATAGGCAGGATAAATACCCTGTAGCCACTGAGGTCAAAGTTTAAACTGTCCTGGCTGCTAAGGCTGTTTTCAATTAACCTCAAGTGATATGATCGTACATACAATTTAGCAACATAGGCAAAAAGTTCCCTGTGAAGTATTCATTCACTTGGCTATAAAATCAACTTCATGAAATACATTGATGTCTAGTACAGAGCTAATATGCAACTTGCAATGGAGCTACACCTTAGAAACATTATGGAAATATTGCTTATTTGAATTTCTTTTCCTTGTTATTTGCCAAATGCAATTGCCTTTGGACACTAGAAAACAAACCACACAAGGTTAATTATAATGCACATTTTAAAACAGAAGCAGAGACAACAAGGGCTGGATGAACACAGCAGGCCAAGCAACATCATAGGAGCAGAAAGGCTGACGTGAACATAGGTGGTATGGTTGGTAAGTTTGCAGAAGACGCCAAAGTTGGAGGTGTAGTGGTCTGCAAGTTCATAGTTCCTTGAAAGTGGATTTGTGGGTAGATAGGATAGTGAAGAAGGTGTTTGGTAGCTTGTGTTTATTGGTCAGTGCATTGAGTGTAGAAGTTGGGAGGTCATGTTGTGGCTGTACAGGAAATTGGTTAGGCCACTTTTGGAATACTGCATTGAATTCTGGTCCCCCTCTATAGGAAGGATTTTATGAAACTTGAAAGGGTTCAGAAAATACTTACAAGAATGTTGCCAGGGTTGGACGGTTTGAGGTATAGGGAGAGGCTGAATAGGCTGGGGCTTTCCTCTTGGGAGCATCAGAGGCTGAGGGGTGACCTTAGAGGCTTATAACATGAGAGGCATGGACAGGATGAATAGCCAAGGTCTTTTTCCCAGGGGTGGTGGAGTCCAAAACTAGAGGGCATAGATTTAAGGTGAGAGGAGGGCAACTTTTTGGTGCAAGGGTGGTGCATGTATGGAACGAGCTGCTAGAAGAAGTGGTGGAGGCTGGTACGATAGCAACAATTAAAAGGCATCTGGATAAGTATATGAATAGAAAGGGTTTAGAGGGATATGGGGAAAATGGGACTAGATTACTTTATCATATCTGGTCAGCATGGACAAGTTGGACCGAAGGGTCTGTTTCCATGCTGAACAACTCTGACTCTCTTTCACTTGCTCAATATGTAGCTCAAGTTTTAAAAAATAATTTCTGGTCTGGTATCATGAATGTAATCCTGTCACTTACATTGTGGTATAAAATGTCTGGCAATATGCATAAATGTGCTTAAGTGCACAATGTACTGTGAAAGTATTATCACCCTGAACAAAGGGAATGGAGAAGAGTGATTAGTCTACTTGTCAATGCATGGCCTCCTCAGGCTGGTGACTGCCTTGGCCTGCCACCCCTTTCAGCAGTGAGTCTTGCATTTATTTTTGGTGGGAGAGGAGGTGTAAGGCCAAGTGCTACTGTGAAAAATCAATTCTGACACATTAGGCCATTTTGTCAGGCCAGGGCCAAGGCCAAAGGATATACATCTGAGCCCAATAGACAGAACCTGGGCCCTAGGGCTGGAGGCTGCTGCCCTCAGATTGAAGGATGAAGTTGGTGGCTTGAGCCAGGAGCAGCCCTGGGAACATGATTTCTCTTCTTGCCCTTGTGAGTTGCAACTCAATTGTAGCACACTTTTTTTTTTTTTTTTTTTTTTTCTTAATCAAAAGATTCCAGATCCAAGCCTCCCTCCAGTACTAGAGCATAAGAACCAAGGCTAACATGCCAGTGCAGCACAGTCCAAAAGTGTACGTACTTTTGCATGTGACTGATCTGCTGCCTTAGTGGATGTGACAAATCCCATGGCACTTTATTTGATGAAGAACAGGGGAACAACCCATGTAGTCTTGACCAATATTTATCCCACAGTTAACATCAAAACAGATGATCTGGTTTTACTACATTGTTTGAGGGACGCTTTCCATTAATCAGCTGCTGCACTTCCTACACTATGGCTGTCAGTACACTTTTTTGAAAAGTAATTAATTGGTTGTGAAGCACTGAGACCTTAGGTAGACGTGAAATGTTATATAATCACTTTCAAAGATTTAACTACTATGACTCCCTGGATTAGAGAATTCCAGACACTCCATACTCTCTAGGAGAAGAAATTTGTTCGCATCTCAGTTTTAAGAGTATTCTCTGTTCCCCTAAACATTCTTTACCCACAGAGTAAGTGCCACTATAGTGCTGCTTAGCCTGCTAACCATTTCAAGCGTTTTCTGTTTGTATGAATCCTATATCAGTTTAACCATGGAAAAACTGTCAGTCTGGCTTCCACCAAGCTTCAAAGATGCATATCATTTTGCTTGAGTGGTTAAACACTAAGAAAATTAGCTAGGTGTTTATTCAAGGGAGTATTCTGTAATATAATTTGAGCAAAGTTAAAACTCATGTTTCTGGGAAGTTGTTAAGCTATTAAACTTTAACAGTTAAACTTTAGTACAGACTTGATGGACTGAAGGGCCTCTTCTGTACTGTATTTTTGTAGGATCTAAATATGGTGACATTGCTAGTAGTGCTCTGATTAATCCAATACAAAAAGCTAATGGTGAACAAATGATCTGATTACCTTTAGATTCTGTACCTAGGTACTTGTACCTAAGATAGCACCTTGTGTGGCAACGTTATACACTTTTCACTGTACTGCTGGTATTTTTGTACCTTGAGTACACGTGACAAAAATCAAATCAAACCCTAATAGTTTCTGGTGGTTGATTTGAAGCAACCTGTTTGAACGTGTCATGCCACGCCTCCTAAGGCTGGTGAGACTTGAACCCTGGACCTTCAGGCCCACAGGTAGGGGCAATCAGTGTGCCATGTGAATTCTTTTATTCATATGTAATCAAAAACAAAAGTTGGCTAGGACTAGGAAAACTAGTGGGATCACTTCTTATCCTTCACTTTGTAACAACATTTGGTCCTTCAAGTTTGCCCCACCATTCAGTGAGATCATGGCTGATCTGCCCAGTACTTCAACTCTTTGCTTGTGCCAGCTTATCACCGCCTTCACCCGCGATGTTCCAAAGATCTTTCTACACCCACCTTTTAAATAACTTCAATGATGTAGCATCCGTACCTCTGAGTTAGAGAATTTCGGACATTCACTACCTTCTGGACGAAGAAATTCTCTTATCCCACTTTAAATGAGTGCCCTCTTATTTTGTAAATATGTCCCTTATTTTGAGATTCCCTCCCAAGTGGAAACATTCTTCTCAACACCCACCCTGTCAAGCCCTCTTGGAATCATGTTTATTTCAATAAGAGTCTAGCCATTCTTGATAAGTCAACCTGTTTATTTTTCTTGAAGTAGGCCTAATGAATCTCTTTTTAACTGCTTCCAATGCCAGTATGTCATTACTTTACATATAGGGACAAAAATGGTACACACTACTCCAGGAGCGGATTCGCACATTGTATGCTTCTCTCAAACTTTCCTATATTCAAACTCCGACAAGTAACAATGTGGTCTGAGAGGGTCTTCAGATTTCTTTTGAAATGCAATAACTATCTGAAAAGCAATATTTAAAAATACTCCTATGCATACAATGAATATTAAAATTTACAATGGACTCATGGTTGCGACCAGATGGTGGAAGTGCACACGGTTGTTCTTATTCCAGACAGTGTATGAATACTGTAATGAGCCTAAATAAGTGAAATAAATTGGGACTAGCTGGATTATTAGAATATTTATGACACAAATTTAACCTGGCTTTCTGATGAAGGGTCGAGGTCCAAAACGTCAGCCTTACTGCTCCTGTGATGCTGCTTGGCCTGCTGTGTTCATCCAGCTCTGCACCTTGTTGTTTCAAGAAAACTGTACCTTTTAGGATTTCAAAAATAAACCATTCAACAGATCTTTCTATAAGGATACGTTTTGTTCTTTCGGTTTAGGGTTGGGTGAGAATGTAACTTGCCAATGTCCTCTAATACTGGGCTGTTGCTGTGCACAAGGTAAGCTTGATTATGCTTCCACTGGTAGTGATCTCATTTTGATACCACTTCCTTCCAGGTTCAATAACCGTCCTCGGTCTCTATCTTATGTTTGGATATGGAGCATCCCTATTGTGCAATTTGATTGGTTTTGTATACCCAGCTTACTTTTCGTAAGTATGACCTTCAAGCTGTGTAAAAATGCACCTCTGTTCTGTTGTGAATAGTTTTGACTTCATCTAAATCAACAGCTTTTCTTCCATTCTCCATCTTAATTTCCAACTCCATTTTCTTTCTTTGCCCTTGGATGTTGCTATTTTTAAAAGCCTTACTTACTATTTTTATAACTTACGAACATAACACTAATTATCACCCAAGCTAAGTAAGCATTTTATCAAACACTTCCATTGCAAATAGAAAGAGTGGCTCTGGTCCACAATGCGAAAAACAGCTTTCTCTTGCTCAAAGAAAATTTGTGAAGATACAAAAGATGTCAGTTAAGATGATAAAGTCTGATCCAGACTATAATTGCACTGCACCAAAATGGGAGGTGTCAAAACTTAATTACTAAAACTGAATTAAAGAATCTTTTCTTCACTGTCCATTCTCAAGTTTACACATCAAAGTCTTACATTTAGTTCACATTAAAAGTGATATTTATGATGGTCAGATATTGGATCATTTTAAAATGTATAAAATGTAATCCTGGTCCCTAATTTATATCTAATTGATTTCTCAATGATGTTTTTAAAGAAAATACATACTGGAGGCCACTCTACATCTTGGGTTATTGTAGATGACAAAAGAGGCCTTCAAAATTCATAAGTTGAATTAAATTCCTTTCTTTAACTCCATTGGTTTTTTGTATGTATTTTTTTTTCTTGCACTTTTGTCTCTGTGGACAGTGCAATGACTAGCTGCGGATGTCTGCTTCAGACCGTTTAGGGAGCCAAATTCATTTTTCCTAGGATTTTATTCTCCGTTTGTTTTGGGCTGTGTATTTATTTCACTCTGCTTTCTGGTGCCTGTGTTCCATTGCTCGCCACATAAGAAATTATGTCACATGTTGCCCTGTTGTTTAATGTATACTCAGCTAGAGTTCTTGAAAGAAAATTAGCATCACCTAAACTGCTCAGTAATGTGTAAATGCAAAATTCTCCATTCTAGTCCAAAAGTACTTCATGAAACTTAGACACTTAGATTTTAAAAATCATCTGGTTTATAGCTTTGTGTGCTTTTTGTTATATGCATCTTGGGTGAACATTTCCATCCTCTTCTCCAGCAGCCCTGCAGGCTTAAACACTGCTTGCATTGTTCATTTGTTCCCGTTTATCTGGAGCAACCTTGATGCTGTTTCTGAAGCAGCAATGAGGAGGTCAGAATTGACAAATTAATCAGTAATTGGAGCCAGTCTGATTTATCAAAATACTATTGCTGACTTCCTTGTTTTTAAAAGTGTGTACACTGACGATTTATGAGCTTTCAACAGAAACGTGAAAATTACAGGCAAAAAGTTTATCACTAGCATATGACATTTAATCCCCTGCAAAATTGGTCTGTTTTTATAATCCAGTTATAGCTGCAGAATTTTTTTTTTGTACACCTGATGTGCCTTCTCTCCAAAGGTTCTTTTTAACAAAGATTTGTTGAGTTGATCAAGACAACAATTTGGTATGTTGCAATTAATTAAGTCCTTAACATATGGCAAATACTGCCCGTTAGGCAATTAGAAAGCAAAGGACCACAAACATTTTAACGTTTTTCCATCTGCCATTAATGGACTGTCCGGTTTTGTGGAGAGTTTATCATCTAACTAGGATAAAAATCTGTTTTTTCTTTATAATGATAAAGCTTTGTGATGGTCTATCTTAATTTATGCTTGCTGGATGGAATTGGAGTGCTTTTACTCGGGCTGAACAGTAAAATAGTTTTCAAAGCTCTGCTTTAGCATGGGGGGAAAAAAGCTTGTTTAATGCTTTTAATAAAACTCTTTTAAACCACCAGCCTGTACCTCCCCTTCAGCTGCTGGGCAATGCTTGCATTCTTTGGGATAAATGATGCAGCCTTTCAATATTATGAATTAGGATTATGAGACTAATTTATGATTTTTGAGGAGACACTTCTGTAGTAGTAGATAAATGGGAGAAAAATAAGGAAAAGTTGGATATATATTCAAGTCTTTTTTTTCACGCCAACCAGACCACTTGCAGTGTTTTCAAAACTCCAAAGCAATTATAATTTTTCTTATTGTAGTTCATACTCCCCTCTGCATTTAACTAACTAGAAATGCTAAAGTTCCAATCTCTGTTTTAAAACATGCATTTCCTACTTAATTGCATCTGCTTTCTGCTGACAGACAGTATGGTGATTGACATGACACCTAGTTTTTCCATTGACACTTGCACTTCAAGAGTACAGTACTGTATGTTGACTTTTTTTTAAATGGTTTGGTATTGTGTTGATTTTAAAAACTGCCACTGGGGGAAAAATGGTTCAAAAGTATTCTTTTTCTTCCAGGATCAAAGCTATTGAAAGTTCAGATAAAGAGGATGATACAAAGTGGTTGACGTACTGGGTAGTTTACGGGTTATTTAGTCTTGCTGAATTTTTCTCAGACATCTTCCTTTATTGGTTCCCTTTTTATTATGCTGGAAAGGTAAGTAACAGGTCAGATGATCTCTTGTATTTTGTTGCCAAGTTTTAAAGTATGTTAGCCACTTTCACCAGGTCTGTTACATATTCTTTACTCACAAATTAAACTTTTTAACACTAATTCCAAATGTCTGCATTTACTGTAAATGCAATTCACTATTTTGCATGTTGTAAAGAATTTGCTTGAATTTGGGCTGTTTACATTGTATTTTCTACATTGCTAATTTAGTGGCTAACATTTTTGGGATTTTTTTTTTCTTCCTGTTTCATGCAGTGTATTTTTCTGTTGTGGTGCATGGCACCAGTCGCATGGAATGGTTCTCAAATGATCTATAATCGAATTGTCCGCCCTCTATTCCTCAAACATCATGCCATTGTGGATAGTGTTGTTAATAATCTCGGTGGAAAAGCTCTGGATGCAGCAGAAAATATGACAAGAGAAGGTGAGTAGGACGTAGTTGGACATTGGAGACATAGTGTAATGATGCTCAAGTATGTTCCAGGACAATTGAACATGGAGAGTTGGTGGAAGGAAGAGTAGAACAGAATTTAAGTGTGGACTTTTGTTTTATTAAATCAGCTTTGAAATGATTGTGATAAGTTCTTCATACAATGCTTGACCTTAATTCACAACAGATATCAATGAAGTTTGTAATTCACAAACTGCCAGGACCTCCCGGAATATTTCAAAGGTTTATTTTAAACACCTAGATTGCACTGTATCTCAGAATTCTACAGTCATTCTCCCTTGTAGATAAAACTTTTTGCTTTAAAAATGCTTACTGCCAAAGTGAACAACCTCCTATTTTCTCACATAATACTCCATTTGTCAAACCTTTTTCCCTGAACCATTGTAGATTCCTCTGCATCGTTGTCTTATTCTCAACATTTCCAGCTTATCTTTGTGTCATCTGTAAACTTAACCGCTGTGCCTTGTATCCCCCTCATCTCAGTAATTGATATCAAATGTGAAAACACAGTGCGTTAGTATCTCTCAGTAAATATGCAATATACCTCTTAAGGGACATGAATATTATGTCTTTTACCTAATCACAGCATGAGACTAATGCTGTGAAGATCTGTCTCCATCTGACTACGTCCTCTTACAGTATGATCTGTTGAGAGAAGTGTGCTACAACACATTCCGATTGCTTAACATGAGCCCAGACATGAGTTCCTGTGAGTGTAATGTGTATATGTAAACACTGAGAGCTGTAATAAATTTCATTAAAGTCTTCAGTGCTATGTAATGTGTTTCTGCTTCATACCACCTCTTGAAGGTGGAATCATAGGTAGATAGGGTGGTGAAGAAGACATTTGGTACACTTGCCTTTAGCAGTCAGTGAATTGAGTATAGGAGTTGGGAAGTCATGTTGCAGCTGTGCGGGACATTGGTTAGGCCCTTTGGGAATACTGTGTTCAGTCCTGGTCTCCCTGCTTTTGGAAAGATGTTGGTAAACTTAAGGGTGCAGAAAAGATTTACGAGGATATTGCTAGGGTTTGAGGATTTGAGCTACAAGGAGATCCTGAATAGCTGGAATTACTTTCCCTCGAGTGTCGTAGATTGAGAGGTGACCTTTTGCAGAGGTTTATAAAAATGATGAGAGTCATGGATAGGGTGATTAGCCAAGGTCTTTTTGCCAGAATACGGGAGTCCAAGACTACAGGGTGTAGGTTTAAGACTTAAAAGGTACCTAGGGGGCAACCTTTTCCATGCAGAGGGTGGTGCATGTATGGAATGAGCTGCCAGAGGAAATGGTGAAGGCTGGTAAAATTACAACACTTAAAAGACATCTGGATGGGTATATGGATAGGAAGGGTTTAGCAGGATATGGGCCAAATGCTGGCAAGTGGGATTAGATTAATTTAGGATATCTGGTCAGCATGGACAAGTAGGACCAAAGGGTCTCTTTCTGTGCTGTATAATCTCTGTCTCTATGTTTAAAGAGCTAATATGTATCTTGCATATTAGCTGCAATTCATCAGCTCTCGCATCAGATCCCTGCTGGCAACACTGGCCACATCCTGCCAATGTGAAAAAGATGAATGTATGTATACTTTTTTTTCAGCTGGCTAATCTTTTATCTGTTCTTGTATGTTTATTCTTACAGCCTTGGATCCTATTTTGTGCAATAACATTTTGTGTAACCTTGTCAAATGACTGAAAATCCAAGGGATAGAAGTGAATGACCTTCACCAACTCCACCATCTTCCTGTCTGCTAGGCATGACTCCAAACAGTGAACAGTTTTCCCTCCTATTCCTATAGATCCCAGCTTTTTGCTCAGGAATCTTGATACCACACTTTGTCAAATGCTGCCTTGATGGCTGTGACCCTGATTGCTCAGTGTTGGCATACTGTTCAACTTCTGGCAATACCATAATTGACTCAAATTCTGATTCTGTTTTGCTAAGTTACACAAAAATATCCTCTTTTTCATTCTGTTCCTAACCCATTGCTACTTTTAAAAAGTATCAAAAAGACAATGAGACATTGAGACTATTAGCATCCAGTACGTTAAAGACCAGTTCTGAGGAAAGGTCACCGGACCCAAAACATTAACTGTTGTTTTGTTTTGTTTTTTTTTTTTTTTTTTTTTTTTCTTTACAGATTTGCCAGACCTGCTGAGGTTTTCCAGCAACTTTTTTTTTTTTGTTCATTTAAAACTATTAATGCTCCCAACCTTGTCTAGGCCAAGATTGATGAATTCAATTCAACTCAATCACTGCTCAATAAGAAGCTGTACTCCATTTGGTGATGTGTTTTGCCATTGAGTCATCAGGTGTTAATTTGTGCAGTCTTGATATCATGCAGTTGAGTTCACATTTGTTTTGGCATCAAACTTCCTGTAAAATAGGAAGTCTGTTTAGGTCTGATAATGTGATCCTGGTTTATTTTCGTAGAACCTCTGGAACGTCACTAGTTACATAAAAGGTTATCTTTAATAGATTTATTTGTTTCTCGGATTAAAGGATTAAAGCTTTTTAAAACCAATAGGAGGAACATTAGTGATGTGATTGGCATCAAATTTTGAGTCTGCAGTATGGTTCACATCCTCTTTTAAATGCTGTGATCACTCAATTAGTCTTGCAAAAGTATTGTGTAAGTACTTAAAATGGCTAGAATATTGCAGAACCTGATGAGGACATCAAATATTCTTCTCTCTCCACTTCTTCAAATATTGTATTGCCAATCAAAATGTTAATAGCTCATTGTAATTTATAGCTATGTTTGGATTGGGTCGTAACTTATAGTTTTGAACTTAGTATTGTAATTACACAGCAGCTGATTTGCTTAAGCACAGATAAACATGAAAGTGCAAATTAACTGAAGAATAGTCGGGAGTATACAGAATAGAGAATAGTTCAGTCTATTTTAAGTAAACTAATTGTTTCACATTCATAGTGTACTTATGGACCAGATCAGACCAAACCACCAACCCACCACCACCCCAGAAAATGTAATAAGGAGATATCCTAGACCATAACTTTTTTATACTTAAAAGCAATTGTAAGGTGTTGTGTTCCTGATGTAATTTGAGTGGTCTACCGCTAGGCTTTAAGCTAAACAAGCTTTATTCTTACAACATGGTTAAAATGCAAACAAAAAGAAGAACTGGCATAACTCTAACTCTATTGAAATACTTAACAAGATAATATGATTTAACAACTAATCATCAACTGTTCCAATATAGGCAGCATCCCATAAACACTCATTGCAAGGCAGTTGAGCAAAACAGTTTTATTCTCACATGCTATCTTCTCTCTCCAGAGAGAGAGAGAGAGAGTGTGTGTGTGAGAGAGAGAGCGCTCTAGCTGTTTGTTCCATCAGCCAGTTAGAAGAAACCATCTTACTAGCTGAAATAAAATCTAGAAGTCTTTCTGGGTCTGTGTGATGCCTGACCCCACCTCTTCTTGCTTCTTTTGTCTTTTTAGAAAAAGCATCCAGAGAGAACTCCAAAGGTGTCTACCAACTGAGGTTGTAGACTTGCTCACCGAGCCAGTCTTATTTGTTGCAGATGTTTCGTCACCCTGCTAGGTAACATCATCAGCGCACTTCCGGTGAAGCGGTGGTGTTCTGTCCCTCTTGTTGTTTATATGCTCTGAATTGCTGGGGTGGTTGGCATTACTTCTGGTTCTGTTTTTTCAGCGATTTTTGTATATTGGGTCTAGTTCAATGCACAAGACTAGAAGAAATTCACCAACACATAAACAACATCCTCACTAGAATAAAATTCACAAAAGAAGAGAACAATAACTGACCACCCTTCCTGGACAAAATGGTAGAATGTAAGAACAACAGGAAACTCTAGACTAGCGTATACAGAAAGACCATACATACGGACCAGATACTTAATTACTGGGTGTTACCCCAACACCCATAAACCGAGCTACGTTAGGACATTATTCAAATAGGCCGCAACACACCGCAATACCGGAATTGCGCAAAGCAGAACAGGAGCACTTGTATGGAGTTTTTAAAAGGAATGGCTACCCAAAAAAAGCACAATCCGCCGTTACCTCTGTGACAGACAACAAAAAGGTCAGCCACGCTAGTCACCCTACTGTACATCAGAGATGACTACAAGACTACTCGGACCCCTAGGTATCAGAGTAGCCCACAAACTGACAACCACCCTGCGACACCTGCTGACAAACATAAAGGATCCCATACCCACATCCAATAAAACTAAAGTAATATACAAAATACCATGCAAGGACTGTGAAAAACATTCCATAGGCCAAACTGGAAGAAAACTGACAATAAGGATACACAAACACCAACTGGCACCAACGCTCACTGGTCTCAATACACACGGATAAAGAAGGACACAAATTTGACTGGGACAACACATCCATAATGGCACAAGCCAGGGAATTCCTGGGGGCCTGGCATTCCAACCAGAACTCTGTCAACAAACACATTGAACTGGACCCAACATACAAACCACTGAAAAAAGAACCAGAAGTAACACCAACCATCCCAGCAAACCGAGGCATATAAATAACAAGTGGGACAGACCACTAATCCTTCACCGGAGGCGCAGTGACGAAACGTCTGCAACCAAACACACTGGCTCGGCAATCAGGTCTACAGCTTCATCCGCAACCTGAGCTACAAATCTTCTCTAAAACTTTAATGTTTACCAACTGCCTGTCTGAAGGAGACATTCTGGCACCACTGTGGCAACACCTGTCTGCAAGAGGCAGGGCAGAACACTTAACGGCTCACTGTCACACCTCCCATACTATTTTTTTTCAGAAAAATAAGGAACCATCAACATACAAAGCTGACTTCACTTTCAAAGCCTTTAGTCTATTAGTGCTTTGTATATACATTGTTTACAGTTAGTACATTCAGTAATAAAGTCCATTCCAGTCGTTTCTTCCATCCCTGAACACCTCCATCTTCGTACGTTAATGCATCAGCAATTACATTCTCT